ACACCTGGGATGACTCCCAGATATGCATGCAATGCTTGTAAGGCGCCAATAAATATAATATGGGTGTCCTCTGGGTTACCATGGCACACCACCTGGGATGAACCCAGCCTAATAGATATGGGTCCTGCGGCTGCAGACCTTATGGAGACAGGCCCCATGCGCCTATATAGTAAGCCTGTATAGTTAAAAACCATGCATATAGCTCTGGCGTACATTTGTGGTGAACCCGGCTAGCCAGACCGACACCACTACCAGTCAATCGCGCCTGCACCACGGCTCTCAGTAGCCAGATTAAACTAATAGAGGTGACCCCTCTTTTTACCTGGGTGATCCCCAGTTCTACCAGGAGTCTACCACCCCTATGTGCTGACCCTCACACTACCTCCCAACAGGGCGGGAACGAGTCATGGTGGACACTCTCAACGTTCCCAAGATTTCTAGACGATGATAAACGCCACAGTAACGGCCTCAGTGGAGAAGGTTCTATTATGATCTCCAACCCACACCGCTTGATGGAGACCTCAGGCCCACAAGCCTTTAAGTCGAAACGGCAAGGGAAGGGCTCCAGCCCACCTGCCACTAAGGTCATGGGCAAGATGCCCATCGAACAGACCAAATAGGCGGAGCACCGGGAATCCAAACACCGCCCGCCACAATCTTCCGACAAAGAAGACTATTACCAACCACGTAATTTGGACACGGTAGATGAGCGACACGAAGACAGCTCACCGTCTGAGGAAATGGAACGGCAAGACCTTCCCCACACTTCCTCGAAGTACGTTAGGGAAACCTTACTCCGTAACGCTGGCTGAGGCAGAGATAACTGTAGCGGCACTAAACCAGAGTAGCCGAAGACGGAACGTTCCTGGACGAACACTATTGGCTGCGCAACCCTCGGGGGATGGAAGGATGTGCACGCCTCAAGACCGAGTTACCCCAGGGTACACAACTCAACCCTACCACCTCCAAAGAATGGTCTCAATGCTCAATATGCCTCCTGGGCAACGTAAATGACGCACTATGCGCCGACAGACGCAAATCTGTACTGGGCCGCATCGACAACACACTATTGGATCTAGGAACGACAAGAATTCGGCCCAAAAGCACAAGTCCTTCTATTCGACGTAGTGTTCATTGCAGTACTCAAAAAACATGTGAATTTATTCACCACACTAAACCCAGACCTCGCTAAAACAAGTCTTCCACAACCCTATGGGGAAAGGTGTTTCTGGGAGGATTGGTCGGTAGCTGATCCGAGCCACCAGCCGCTTCTGGGCGACAGGTTCCAGATCATACACACAGTCCTCATATTTCTCCCATCTACTACACAAAAGAACCCATCCGCTTCATCTACTAGTGTGTCAACCTACATAACTACCTGTTTTCCAATATTATGACCGGCAACCTGTCTCTGTTTTACAGAATTGGGAGACGACTACCAAAGTCACCTGGGTTCTCCAGACAGTACAAGGTTATGTCATAGAGTTTTATCACAGCCGTGCAGGTCGCCCCTTCACCTCCATTACGCATGCTGGCGGAACAGGAACACCTCGTGGACAAGAAAATCTGCACCCTCTTCAGGAGGTGCGCAATTCAACACGCAACGGAGGGGAAGGCTTCCCCAGCAAATTTTTCCTGGTCAAGAAGAAGCCAGGAGACTACATCAATGGAACTCCTACACGGTATACAAATGCTGCAAGATGAAGGAAATTCGTCTGCTACAAGACCTCCTAGGCGATAACGACTGGTTTACACATCTGGACCTCAAGGACGCACGCTTGTCGGTACCCGTTGCCCTGGACCGTTGAAGTTTTTCCTCCGATTCCGATGGTGAGGACAAACACGGCAGTTTACGACTCCGTGGTGCTCGCGAACCTACGGTAACCAGTGAGGGCACACATCCGTAAATTTGGGCGTACGATGCCTCGTATACCTGGAAGACTTGCTGTTTCTTTACGAATCCAGACTACATTTGCAGACAAATTTGTCGTTCACTTTCGGGACTCCATGGATTTTTCGTTGTACACAGACAAAGATCGCTTCTCCATCTGAATCGGGCCAGTTCCTCAGTTTCGACATCGGCTGGGAGGACTACGTTCCGCGTCAGTCTACGGCAAAGAGCACCTCTATAAGGATAGTTGTCGGATTGTGGGATTCCTCTCCTCCTCTCCTCCTCCATACAAGCGTTATTCCCTGGCCCACTACGACTGATGGTGAGATACGTACGCACCGGTCACTCATACGACCACTGGATCGCACTGTCAACGGAAGTGAGGATGGAATTTCGATGGTGATTACTTCACATACAAACTTGAATTGGCAAGACGATCTTTGACTCTTCCTTCGGATACGGGGTGATGGATGAACCCCTGCAAACGCGACCCAGCCGTTCTCCACAATAGCAAGGGTGCTTCGATACACACACACACCCACAGGATATCGCTCTTGCTCATGACACCCCTCGGGCAGGGCCAACCGTGATTTCCAGGATCGCCTGGAGATGTCTCGCGAAGACCCTCTACTACTCCCTACCTTCCCTCTACTTCTGACGGGACCTCGAGGGGAAGCCCACTCCCTTGTCATGGAAGGACAACTGGCACTAGTTGCCTGGACGGTTTCAGGGGCTCCTGGTCAGATCACGACCTATTGCATCAACTAAGACCTCCTATGGGACTCATAGGCTCCAGGCACCAGGAAAGGCTATATTTCTGCCTGGTCGGCCTGGAGTGATTGGTGTGTGGGAAGGGATTCCGATCCCTTTACCGCACCTGTCCCACTGATCCCCAACTATCTGTCACACCTGGTCTCGTTGGGTCGGTCATATCGATCCCTCAACGTGATCAGATCCGCAATGTCGGCGGCGCACGTTCCGGTACAGGGCAGACCAGTAGGTCAAGATACACTGGTTTGTCGACTACTGCGGGGTGCCGAATTGTCGAGATCCCTGCACCCAAATATTCACGCCTCTGGCAGGTGGATGTGGTGCTGAGATTCCTTAGGGAATGACCGGACAAACCTTTGTTTGTCACTGAAGCAACTTTCAGCCAAACTAGCCTTCTTATTATGCCTCGCCTCATTTAGACGGTGGCGGACGTTAGGGCTTGCGATATGGATGGTTTCTCTCTCACACCAGACGGGGTTACCTTTACCATGTCGAGACAACTAAGTCGGATTCGTCTTCAGTGTCATACCCATGCTTTGTGTCAGACGCCACACTATGCGTGGTCAGAACACTAATGGGGTACACCAATATCTCTACCCCCTTCGAACTCATTCGACGG